AAGAACTGTGGTCCAATGATGGCTGCCAGCTCAGAGGTAGGCGGCTCCCCGTCACTGGAGGCAAACAAGCAGTGTCTGATGAGACTTACCTGTCAGGGAGGCAGGTCAGAGAAAGTATGACCAGGACCGAGGTCACAGGAGGTTGCTGACCCGAGACTCCTTCCCTTTCTGAAGGGACACCATTCTAAAATTTACATAAAAACCACTCTGAGAGATGGATAAGGCTTTTGTATTCTATTCAGGGGATAAGGTAAAATGCTGGGGGGTTTCTTTCCTCTTGAAGTGAAAGTTGTAGATTTTATGTAAGACCACAGCAAAAAAATCTGACATTTCTACTTTGTGAGTCCAAGCTAAAGCTGAGATTTGATTTTGAAATATGAAAGTAAACTGTTACTAGCTCAATTTAAGTCTGTAGGATTTATATTTATATATAACCTTTAAAGTTCTCCCAACTTCTCACCCTGGAGAAAAGAAGAAATTACAGCAATCTTACTTAGGGCTGGAAGTCGAGAGAGACACTAGTTCTAGGTTAATGGAAAACTGACATTGTTTTGCCTGGGCTGCCAGCAGCTTCCAGCGGCTTCTAACTGATGTGAACTCTCACGCCCAGAGACACAGTTACGAGTCTCACATATTAAATTGAGTGCTTTTGTGGTCCAAGCTCAATTACGATTCAGTTTTAAAAACGTTCCTTCGTGGTATTTTTAAGAGCACTATTTGTTTTTACACACCACCCCTTCACAGTCCAAAGCAACTTCTAAATGTCGTTATTGCTTGTGGCAAATCCATTTCAATTCTCTAGAAACGACTTTTCAGTGTGTTTCTCCTTGTGCTGTGTCCGCTCCAGTGTGCAGGCATGTGGCTTGCTCTCCCTGTACACCCATCACCAGCACCGCGCGCTGCCTGCCCCACAGAGACAGAGCTGCGATAGGCACACAGTGTTAGAAGGCTCCTAGATTTCATCTCAACTACTATGAATTTTTGCAACCCCCCCTCCTCCCGTTTATTAATGTTGAAGAAACTGACGAGTGGTAGGGGCGGGGAGGGTGGTTCACAAAGCAAGTAGTAGCAAAATTAAGCTCGGGCACAAGGACTTTGGAGTCTTAAGCAATTCCCTTAGTTTGATTTCCCAGAAGCAGGACATGAGTGCAGGTGCAAGTAGTTTATCGGTCGGGCGATCCCAGGAAACACCGGCAGGAACAGGAGGAAATGAATCAGGAAAGGGGAGGCGGCTATTTAGGACGTGTTCATGGACAGGTTAACGCTGTGGGCCTGGAGGCCACCAGGGCTCCAGTCCCTGAGAACCTCTGGAGATGGTTCACAACAAGCCTCCGACTTGTTTGGCCAACGCTTGTCTGTCATTGGTTGAGCCTTGCTCTTAGGCTCTTAACTCCCCCACACTTCCAGCCCGCTCTGTGCAGGTGGCTAAGCATTTTTCTGCAGCCAGAGAGAGCCCTCGGCAGAGAGTTGCAGGGCTTTGTTTAGGAAGTCACCCAGCAGGCAGCACTGGTGCAGGCCTGGGAGACGTGGGTGGGACTGGCAGCCTCTGCTTTGGTGGTCGGATGCAGATTTCTCTCCTGTCTCTGGTCAGTAAACACCAGAGCTCCGCCTTAGAGGTGAGAGGCTGAAACAAAACGTGATTTACAAGGGAAGATTAAATAGGCAAATGAGTAAATACTATCCCTATGTTATGGGAACTTACCATGCACATATGCACCTCACCACCTTTGCACATGCTGTCCCTCCACCTTGTGTGACTCATCCTAGAAAACTCCTACTCATCCTCCAAAGTCCAGCTCCAATATGAACTTGACTGTTAGGTCCTTGCCTGACTCCTCAGGAAAAATTCATTGCTCTCCTCTTTGCTCTGACCTCACGCTGTGCCAGCTCTGAAATAACAGGACACGTAGTGTCCGTGTCTCCTGTGCGCCCACCACGGTGCTACTATTACTAGTAATAGTAGCTAACGTTTATGGAGTTTAATTATGACTTTATGTGCCAGGCACTGTTTAAAATACTTTATGTTAATTACCTCACTCAATCCCCTCAGCAACTCTATGCAGTGGCTGCAATTAGCATCTCCAGTTTGTAGAAAGGAGACAGAGATGTTAAGCAAATTTCCCAGGATCATGTAGTCAGCAAGGGGCAGAGCTAGAAGTTTCCAGAAAGTCAGGCTTCCAAGTCCCTGCTCTTAGCCGCTGTGCAGAACAGCCTATCTTTGGCTGCGGTAGAGAACGGGGCCCAAGGACTGAACCCTGGGGGTATTTCTAGCAGTTTTTGTAGGGCCTCCTGCTAGGCTGGGAAGCACGGTAGAGAATCTTACAGGGGCAGGCAACACGAGATTCACATTTTACAAAGACCCTTCTTGCTATAGTGTGCAGGGTGAACTGGAAGAGGAGAGCTTGAACACAGAGGCTGGCGCAGTGATCTGGGAAAGAAATAATGAAGTTCCAGGTTTAGCATGAGCTGGCCCCCGCTCATCTCCCTCAACGCCAGCCAGCGCGGCAGGGCTGACACTCCTGGGTGTGCAGGTGGAACATCTGGACAAAGGGGCTGTAGCAGTGAGAATGCAGCCTGGGTGCCCTATGAGGGGTCACATAACACCAAGGTGGAGGGGCACTTTTGCTCACTTGCCCAAGAAGGCAGGTGGCCTAGCGATGGCCTTGCCAATCTGGACATTTTATTTTATATTTTATTTAATTTTTTTTTTATTATTTTAGAGACCACGTGCAAGCAGTGGAGAGGGGCAGAGGGAGAGAATTTTAAGCTGGCTCCACACTCAACATGGAGCCCGACACAGGGGTGGATTCCACAACCCTGGGATCACGACCAGAGACGAAATCAAGAGTAAGACACTCAACTGAGTTACCCAGGCGCCCCCAATCCAGACATTTTAAGCTGCTTTTTTGTTTCCTGATTGTGTCATGCTTTTCCCCCACTTCTGTGTTTTGAATATTTGGTTTCCTCTGCTATGGATACTCTTTCACTCATTCATTAATTTATTTTTTTCACTTATTCGTACAACACATTCTTTTTAGCACCCACCATGTGCCAGTACCTCTGTATTTGACGGTGATTCGGTGGGGGAGCTTACAATCTAGGGATGAGATGAATATTAATGAAATCATTATACAGATGTCACTCTGACACTGTCTTCGAAGGTCAAAGGGGACCATGAGACTGTATGCTGGGTGCTGGGGACTTATCTGCTCCAGAAGGCAGGTGGCCATGGTAAGGTCACCACTGAGACAATACGGTTTCCCTTAGGATGTGCATGACTTTTATGCTGATGTGAAGACAAATAGGAACTAACCTCTACTAAAGAGGGTAGAGAAGGAGAGTGGCCACCCTTCCTGCAGCCCTACTATGTTTGACAGCGTGCTCATGCACCCCTGGGCTGGAGGACAGAGGTGTGGATCCAGACAGGCTTGACAAAACAAAGAGAGGGGACACTGAGGAGAAGGCCTGCAGGATGGGGAGAGTGTGCAGTGAGGAGGGAGTGAGCACCGCAGTGCAGACAGCAGGTTAGAGCCTGGGAGATCTGTGGGGAACCCTCATAGCAGGCTGCCGAGGAGCTCCGGAAAAGAGGCATGTTCAATATTGAATTTCCAATTGTGCTTCTGTGGTTTAGGATTCTTCCCCTCCCCAAGCCTTCAGTATAATCGGTTGCACACAAATCCTTCATGGGAATGGTTTTGGGGAAAATCAAGGGGGAAAGCTGAGTTCCCTGTAAAGTCAGTGGGGAACAATGAGAAAAGCATGGGCAGGTGAGGTGACACGGGTAAAGTCAAAGGGTCAGAGGACACTGAAATTTGGAGCAAATTTGGCAGCAATAGGAGGTGTGCATAAAATCAGCCGTTTAAGCCTCAAAGGACTAGAATTTTAATTGTGGTCAATTATAGTGAGTGGTTAGCATGGAGTGATGATCACAGACAGCACTGGAGAGGGTCCGACGAGAGTAGGGACAGCCTAGACGCAGAGAGAGAAAGGAAGGGACCTTCTCACTGCGTCCTTGGCAATGGGACAGGGTTAGGGTTAGGGTTACTGTGGTCTCTTTCCAGACACCTGAGACGCAGTGTGTTCACTCCAGCTGAAGGAGGCTCCCCCTCCAGCCTGCTCCCCCAGTCACAGCCCAGCCAGCCACCACGCAAAGCCTACCATTTATTGAATGCTGTTACTTTCTGGGTACAAAGTCACTCGGGACATGGCCCTTGGTCCTCGCCCCTTGGAGTACTCAATCTCCTAAGGGAGATAAACATCACAGAACCGTCATCAGTGCCGCCACAGAGGCGGGTCCAGAGGACGTGGAAGCAGGAGTGGGATCGTGACCCAGTTTCCGGTCATGGTGTTTTCCAGGGTAGGTGGGTGCCTGGCAGGCAGAAGGAGAGGGGCAGGGGCCCAGGCGCCGTGGCTCCCAGGCCACCCATGCTAGCCCTCTTCAGGGCTTATTCTTTTCAACAAGTCCTGTCTCTCCAGCTGGAATCCAAATTCCTCAAGGCCGTGGAGACTCTGCACGTGTTTGGATGTGACAGTGGGAAGGGGCAGAATTTGAGTGGTGCCAAGGAGAGTCCTTTGCCCCAGAGCTCCCTGCCCAAAACTGGGTCTGTGGCCACGCTTACACTCCACCCCAGTCCCTCACTCCCTTGGGGCTGTCAGGGGAAGTAAAGGCCCTCTGGGGTAGCACTTGCTAGAAACAGATGACTGGAGGTGGGGAACTGGAAAGGGAGGGGAAGGAGACAGGGAGAAAGGAGATATGGGTGAGCAAAGATACACTTGGACTTTTGTAATGTTCTTGCTACCCTTTTTCTTATATCCTCCACTCTTTTACACCTTAAAACACATGCATAGTAAAAACTCCTGAATAGACACACCAAGAGGGTGGAAACTGTTTTTGAGGTGGGGGTGTATCGCAGTGTAATGGAAAAAGAGCTCGTTCGAGTCCTGCTGTGCCGCCCGGAGCAAACCCAGAGCCCTCTCTGGCCTCCGTTTCCCAACTCGTGGGTTTTGGGGTGGAGGGGGGGGGGGGGGTCTGGTGTCTCCTTCTGGTGGTCGCCGGTTTCCATGGCAAGATGCGAGGGAAGCCTGTCTCTGAGGCCTCAGGCTTGGGCCCCGTTTCCTCTGCGTCCGCTGGAGGTCTGCGGGTCTGCGAAGTCACGCGAAATAGCCCCAGAGGAAGACGTTGACGGCCAGCAGCAGGACGGCATTGACGTTGCAGACGCGTGTCCAGAGCGGTTCCTCGGCGATGCTGGTCAGCTCCCGCTGGCGCGCGGCCGTCTCCGCGGGGCTCAGCGCCCGCTCTGGGGGCCCGGCCAGCCCGCAGAACCAGTCCCACAGCAGCCGGCCCCAGCGCCTGCGCCGGGCTGAGGACCAGGAGCCGGGGGCAGGCCAGGTGGAGGGAAATGACAAGGGGGTGGGGAGAGGGAGAGCTGGTGAGACACGGAAGAAAGAGGGGCGGGTGGCGCTGGGCCCCTCCTGCGAGCCAACAGGCCGGGCGCCCGGCTGGGACTGGGAGAGAGCTCTGGCTACAGCCCGTCTGGCTACAGTACCGCCGTCCAGCAGAGCCTCCCAGTGCCGCAGGGTGGGGTACGGGGTGAGGATAACGGGGTCTATCCCCATTCAGAGCACGAGGACAGGCGGGGCAGGATCTGTCCCAGGAGGGCCGGAGAGATCTTCCCGCGCCAGGGCCGCTCCGGCTGGTCTGCCTGAGGTCCCGTGCAACCCCCCTCCGCGTCTCCCAGCGGCAGGCTCTTTTCCTTTCGGATAGGCCTGCCGCACCGCGCGCTTCTTCTCCGGGTTGTTTTGAGCATCGAATGACAATGGACATTTGGTAGCGTTTTAAAAAGTGACTCGTGCTGGAGCAGCAGGGAGAGGCTCTGGAAACTGTAATGTTCTCACCGCACGTGAGACTGTGCCCATGCAGACCCCAGCACCAGGGCCGGGTTGCTTTGAGGTTAAAGGGTAGCAGAGTTCATTAACAACTACGTTCGAAAAGAAGTAATAAAGTATTTTTAAGGGGTTTCCTTTTTGCATTAGCGGAATGCATATTAAAATAAAATTAATATGAAAACCTTTTCACTGAGGTTGAACAGAACCCACATTACTGTCTTAATGACTTTGGCACTTGGTACTTGGTAAGTTCAATGTGACTACAGAGTGTCAGAGATACGAACACTCCGGATGCCATCTGGTCTGGCTCCCTCCTTGTACGGAGGAGGAGAAGGAGGAGGAGGAGGAGGAGGAGGAGGAGGAGGAGGAGGAGAAAGGCTCAGAGAAAGGAAGGGACTTGCTTAAGGTCATCCAGCGACAAGCTGCACTAAGCAGTGCCAGGCATGTGGCATTTCAATTCTACTAGCTTTTATCATTTTACAAGCCCCTCCAAGTACTCTCTTCTGATTCTCAGGGCCCCCCTTAGGGGCAGATGACACACAGGAAGTCACGTGCCGATTCTGAGGCCCAGAGCGCCTGTTACGAGGTGCTCAGCACATCTAAGTGTGTCCACAAGCTGGCTGTATACACTTCCTTCAGATCCACTCTGCTGTCCTTAACAATTTTTTCATCGTTCTTTTTCTAGGACACAAAATCACACTGCCATTTTGCTGTTTAACCTGAGGACAGCACAGATGAGCCTTCATGCCTGTGGGCCTTTTGTGAGGGGGAGTCCAGAGTTCGCCTTTATTTTATTTTATTTTATTTTATTTAAAAAAATTTTTTTAACGTTTATTGATTGTTGAGACAGAGAGAGACAGAGCATGAACAGGGAGGGTCAGAGAGAGAGAGGGAGACACAGAATCTGAAACAGGCTCCAGGCTCTGAGGTGTCAGCACAGAGCCTGATGCGGGGCTCGAACCCACGGACCTCGAGATCGTGACCTGAGCCGAAGTCGGCCGCTTAACCGACTGAGCCACCTAGGTGCCCCCAGAGTTCGCCTTTAATGGGAAGGAGCGGGAAGCTCCTCCTTAGCCTTTCTGGGGAGCCAGCCCCCAATAGGGAGCAGACATCTCTCTGCTTCTCCAGGGCTGGGCTCTGCCCTGTGGCATGGGGGCCAGCCAGGGGGAGGTGCGACCACCACATGAGTCTGCAGTGCTGGGGGTCAGCCGGGAGGGCACAGGCTATGCCCTTCCTTCCCAGCTTCTTCCTCTTTGTTCTCTCACTACCTGCCTCACCTAAAAGAGCCTGTGCCTCCTCTGTGCCATGCATTTTACAGGGGCCAAGACTTGCTTCTTGCCATGACTGGGGGAGAAACAGTTTTGAGACCCCACCTGGTGCGTGGACCACAAAGCCTGAGAAAGAGGCCGGGGTTACATTTTGCAGAGCAAAACACACTGGAACTAATGGGGCACCTGATCGGACTTTGAGCTTCAGTGGCGCTTTCTGAAGTAAGCCCTTGTGGGTTTTGACCTTGCAAGTTTGTAAAGGATTACATTCTCTGTTACAGATAGCTTTTATCGTGGACCACTGGCTTTTAATGCCCACAGCTTGGGCAAGAAGATGTGAGTTTTAGCTCTTGGTGGGGTCCTGGAACTTATGATGTCATTAGATCCAGGCATGTGGCTGTTTCTCTAGGCAGGGCCTTAAGCAAAGGTGAAGGGCCTCGAGAAAGGTGGGCATTTTCTCAGGTCTTGGGGGAGCACAGGCCCCCCCACCCCCGAGCCTGGGGAAGGCGAGGGACCTGAGCAGCACGGTGCCACCAGCCGTTCAGGTCCAGCAGCTGGCACTTTGATGATCTCACCTAGGCTCTCAGCCTAAGTGAGTTATTGAAAGTTTGGACACCCAGAAGCTTGGGACGAACTCCTAAACCCAAAGGGAGAAGGCCGCTGCTGAAGGCACCCCAACTCCACCCAGGTGCTGGGGTTCCCTCTAACTGAGGCGGGAAGTAAATTTAGAACTTACATTTCATTAAATTATTAATTTCTGAGGGCAATAGAATTTGATTTGGGGCTTTTGCTTGCAAACTAATTTTTCTGACTGTAATTTTTCCTTAGGAATTTTATAATTTAGGAAATCTCTCCAATGTCATTATATCAGAATGTTTTAATGGCGTTATTTAATCACACTCTAGAAAAGCTATAGCTGCATTATGTCTAAAACAGCTACATTATGTCTTATGCCAACTTTCCACTTTAAATTTTTTTTTTCAACGTTTATTTATTTTTGGGACAGAGAGAGACAGAGCATGAACGGGGGAGGGGCAGAGAGAGAGGGAGACACAGAATCGGAAACAGGCTCCAGGCTCTGAGCCGTCAGCCCAGAGCCTGACGCGGGGCTCGAACTCACGGACCACGAGATCGTGACCTGGCTGAAGTCGGACGCTTAACCGACTGCGCCACCCAGGCACCCCGCCAACTTTCCACTTTAGATACCGTGAGGCCTTGGAGTAAACCTAACTCAGGTACTGTTCTAACACCTTTGAGAGCCTCCGGGGGCAAAATTGATATGGCCCGTAGCAGCTCAAGGAGGATGCCCATAGGAATGGTGGTTGGTCTGGAGGGACCTGATGAAGATGGGGGGAACTGTATAGACACACGGCTGCTCTAGTCCCGGGAGGGACAGCCATGCTTCTGTGCGACTAGAGGCAGAATTGCTAAGCTCTATGGGGAATAAATGAATAATATGGGTGGGGCACTGTTACTTTGACGTGCCTGGTGTTTCCTTCCATCTGGAGGGAACTCAGTGTAACACCCTTTGATTTTCTGACCTGAGGCTCATTCTCCGCAGGGGAGGTGAAGGGACGTCCCTGTTGGTAGGTTTGGGAAGCGCGAAGAGGGCATGCTTGGCTCTGTCTCTCCCTCCTCCCTCTCGGCGTTGCAGTGCTCACAGGGGCAGGCGGCTGATGGGCTCCTCTGCCTCATGCTGGCCTTCAGTAGAAGGAAGCACACCTCCCCATGGATATAAAATGAATCTTTCCACCGGTCCTTTATCAGTAACAATAAATGGCAATATTTTGGCTCTCATCTGCCTTCTTGTTTGTCTTCTCAAATAGTTTAATAGCCATGTAGGAAGGGAAGGTAACTGTTTTGGTATCCCTCAGAGACCCCAGTCCCTATGACTCCCAAATGTGGGTCTTTGGGGATCCATGACATGGCATCTGTCTCCATTGCTGCTCTGCGGTGTGTGCCCCCCAGCAGACCCCCCAGCCTACCTCTGTGCTGGTCCTGGTCCTGGCTGGAGTTCTCTGTCTCTCCGCCTCCTGGAGGGCATGCCCCAGATGGCATCTCTGAAGTCCCTGGTGTGCCCTCCGGGGCCTCCTTCTCCAACCCAGAGTGGGGATGGCTCCGTGTCCACCATGTCAGGCGAGCGAGCTGGAGGGAAAGAAAATACCGCTTGAGTCAGTTACTTTTGAGGGGAAGTCTTACTGTGGGAAAAGACAACCCCCTTCAAGGAGGCCGGCAAAGCAGTGAGGAGCTCGAGGAACAGGCACAGGGCCAAGTCAGGAGGCCTTGCTCCAGCCGAATGCTCTGTCTTTGAAAATCTGCACCCCTGAGCACCTGTTCCAGGCTCCATGCTTGGAAACTGGGAGAAAAGAAGCCAGACAGGGAGGCAGGTGCCACGTGGCAAAAGGCTTCCAAGATCAGGCTGTGGAGTTGATACTCGTAAACAGAAACTCGTAGGCAATGGAGAGTCACTGCAGAATTCAGACAAAGGGAAGAGACTCTAAGTTGTGGAATTTAGAAAGATCTCTTGGAGGGGTGCCCGGGGGGCTCAGTTGCTCAAACATCTGACTTCGTCTCAGGTCATGATCTCACAGTTCGTGAGTTCGAGCCCCGCATTGGGCTCTGTGCTGACAGTTCAGAGCCTGGCGCCTGCTCGGGATTCTGTGTCTCCCTGTCTCTCTGCCCCTCCCCCACTCGTGCTCTGTCTCTCAAAAATAAATAAACATAAAAAAAAAAAAGATCTCTCAGAGTGAATCAAAGGGATCCTGCCTGGAGGCTGCTGGAAAAGCAGAGCAAGACGTACAGAGCCTCTGGGATAGATGGAGGGGGCAGTCTTTGGGATGTTGAGGAGGAAGACCCACAGGCCTTGGTGACTGATTGATTGAGCCGGGCGAGGAATCCGCAGACATGGCTCTCGGGTTCCTGCCGTGGGCCATCAGATGGGTGGTGGGCGAGCTGGAGGACTCTGCCTAGAGACTGCCAGCAGAGCCCGCCTCCTCAGGGTGGAGGTGTCCAGGTGAGGAGAAGCACACCTGTGTCCCGTGGACAGCCCTGGTGGCTTGACCTCTCCTCCCTTTCTGGAGGCTCGGCAGAACGCACAGCAAGTCCTCTGGCTGATATCAGTTGGACCCAACCTTGACTGAGCTCTGGACGGCCTGCTTTCCAAACAGCCTTTTTTCGTAGCCAGGCAGCTCTTGGTTCCATATTGGCCCAGGTATCCCCTGCCCCGCCCCAGATTCCTACAAATATGTACAGCGGTGCAGGGTGAGAGGCCGTCTTCTGGGGCCCTTCCTGCCGGCGTCCAGCTACGCCTCTGCGTGGTCGTGAGAGCCTGGGCTGCGTCTTCCCTTGTAAGTACATCTTCATGAATGTTACTTCAGACTTACACCATGTGTCATTGAGCAGTATGTGGGCGGTGTCACTTCATGGCATGGGAGGCAGTTGGATTTGGGGTTTGAACCTTTGGCTAGCGACAGAGAATTGAGTTTTGTCTTCATGTAGAGGGTGGTTGAATCCACGGACACAGATAAGATAACTCAGAGACAGTGTGGGGAGAAGGGTTATAGGCCATATTTGGGTTCCTAAGGAACCCTGACATTTAAGACCACAGAGAAGGCAGAAGAGCAGGGGGTGGAAAGACAATACTGGAGAGGAATATGTCACGGAAGTGAACGGAAGAGAGCCCTTCAGGAGGCAGGGGGTGGTCAGCGGCGTCTGGTTCCCAGAGCTCACTGAGGATGAAGATGAGGATGTGACCAGTACTTTCTGCAACAAGAAGGTTATTGGGGTCGTGGCGAGAGCAGCTGCAGTGGGAAGGTGGGACACCAGACTGGATGAGACGTATACAAGAAGTGGAAAGTAAGGCTGGGGGGGAGACCCCTCTGCACGGTGTCCTGGTGAGGAGCAGGGCGGGGGGGGGGCCGGGGCGGCAGCCGTAATTAGGGAAGGGAGGGGATTTTCAAGTGTGAGACATCTCAGTGTGGGGCTGAGAGAGCAGACAATGGAGAAGAAGTTGAAGATTCAGGCAGTGAAGAGAGACCATTTCTGGAGTGAGCCACCAGAGAAATTGGTCTCTCTTGGCTCCTCGGTAGGAATTAATGGTACCAAGGGTATAAAGTCGTTTTGCAAACTCTAAAGCACCATACAGGTCAGAGGTGTTATTCATAACTTCCACCCAATGTTTCAGGGACTAACTTCTGGCATGGGCTCGGTTATTTTTGGGCTGAATTGTGTCCCTCCTTCAAATTTATATGTTAAAGTCCTAACCCACAGGACTTCAGAATGTGACTATACATGGAGAGAAGGCCTTTAAAGAGGTAATTAAGGTTAAATGAAGACAATAGAGTGGCCCTAATCCAACATGGCTGGTGTCCCTATAAGAAGGGGAGACTAGGGGGCGTGTCTGGGTGGCTCAGTTAACTGTCCCACTCTTGGTTTCAGCTCAGGTCATGATCTTGCAGTTTGTGAGTTCGAGCCCCACGTAGGACTCTGTGCTGATGGTGGGGAGTCTGCTTGGGATTCTCTGTCTCTCCCTCTCTCTCTCTGCCCCACCCCTGCTTGTGCTCTCTCTCTCTTTCTCAAAATGATAAATAAACTTTAAAAACAAAAGAAGGGGAGACGAGGGCACAGACGGGCACAAGGAAAGAGAGGGTGAGGACAGAGAGGAGAAGGCAGGCATCCGCAAGCCAAGGACAAGGGACCTCAGAGCAAACAGCCCTACAGACACCTTGACCTCAGACTTCTCACCTCCAGAACTGTGAGGACATACATTTCTGTTGTTTCACCCCCCAGATTGTGGTTTCGTGTCATGGCAGCCGGAGCCAATACTCTTTTGCTCTAATGAAGAAAGGTTTCAAAAGACACCTTCAAAGTCTGAAGACTGGCAAATCTGTGAGCACAGGAGTGGTGAGGACTCGCTCTGGTGGACTCCCCTCATTTACCTGTGTCTCAACTGGCCAATGAATCCCTACTCTTTCTTCTAGGGCCAGCTCAAAGTGACCTTGTCAGGGAACCCGATGCAGCCCCCAGGGGTGACAGCCCCTCCTGTCCTCGGCCCCTCCCTTTGAGCTTGGTCCTTCTTCACTCTCTTGTGGTAGAGTAACTGCGTGTGCTGGTGCCTGTCCCCGACACTTGCTGGCAGGCCCCATTCATCTTGGTAACCCTAGCACAGAGCCCGGCACACAGTAGGTTCTCATTGAGCAAATTTCCCATTGAATGAATTACTTTTCACATGGGAATTACTAACCCAATGAGCTCCTCCTCCCAAGGACTCTGTGTGGCTGCAGAGGAGACAATCCAATGGAGTAAAACTTGGTGGTAGAATTTCAGACACTGGGGGTAGGGAGAACATTTCGTGGGGCCCCAGGACAAGCACTCCACTTGCCTTCTCCTCAGGGATGGGGGTGGTACAGAGGCTGACAGTGACGATGAAGATGGCAGTGAGCCCACAGAGCAGGAGTGCAAAGTAGAGGTAGTGAAAGTCCTTCAGCACGGCCGGCCTCCGGTCCACCTCCCCGCAGGCTGGGGCTGGGTATGAGAACTCCAGGATCATGCGCAGAAGCCCCACTGCCAGGCCAAACATGAGGCCCCAGAAGGCTCCCTGTGGAGAGAGGGCAGACACGGGCAGGGGTGAGGTCCAGCTGCAAGGCCCTAGGAAGCTAAAAGCCACTGGGTTGTTAGGGTGTTTGCAGGTCCGCCTTAGTGAGCTCCCCATTAATGCTGAGGCTTTGTCTGAACTCAAAGACGGGCAGAGTGGTGCACTGGGAAGGGCACAAGCTCCAGAGTCAGACACACTAGGATTTGGATCCTGGCTCCATTCCAGAGCGATCAAAGCAGTGACTCAACCTATTGGCTTGGAGTTTTTGTGTGTGCAATGACAAGAGAAATTGATACTTTGTATAGATGCTTAGTATTCAACTAGAATGGAATATGCTTTTGTAATAAGCAAAGAAAACCAGGATCCCCCATCCTGATTTTCTGTTATAATAAATTAAAAAATCAGAATAGAGCTCTTCCTGTTTTGCTTTTTAAAAAGAAAAGCCCCAGCACCTCCCCTGTCTTGTTTATAACACCAGTTGACCTAACCTATACCTGTTTCCCATATGTATTTTAAAAAATGAGATGCTGATCCTGATTTCAAGAATTCTGGGATGAGCAAAACACTCAGAATTCAACCAAGCCCTGCTGTGCACCATGGTTATCAGCAGGGAGATTCGACCTCTGGAAACAGTAGACAGATTGCTGGGTACTCCCCCGGGAGAGGGGTTTCTGAGGTCTCCTTTGCAATGACTTTGAGCTCTGTCATGTGGCTCCTGCAGAGGTTGTCCATAACATCCCTTAGCCCCAGCGGAGTTGGGCCCCTCTTTTCTATCTGGGGTGGGGGAGGGGTTCCTGGGACTTCTAGCTCCTCCAGGCTGTCAGCTTTCAGCAGCTTCATGAACGGCGTGCCTGCAGGGTCCTCCCCAGGTCCACACTTTGCTTCATTGCTGTTATATTGCCTACATACAGAACCTTATGGTGTCAGAGAGGAAACAGACTCCAGAGGTCCTCCAGTCTGACTTGGGCTTTCACACACGCCACGCTACGTGTCTGGAACACTCTTCTCTTCCCCATCAATCCTTCGGCCTAGGCTCAGATGTCACTTCTGACCCCCTCCCAGGCATCCCATAAGTTAGGTGCCCCTGATCTCTACTCTCACAGCAGTTATTATATTTCGTTATTATTTCTTATTGAATCACCTTTTCTCCCATCTGGCAGGGATGATTCCCATCCTTGTAAATCATTGCATCTGGGAGCCCCCATAATAGGATCGATGAATGTTTGTTGAGGGAATGAATGAATCAAGACCTGATGGGTGGGGAGATGGAAGCCTGAATGGGGCAGTGGGTATGTCTAATATGTCACAGAGAGACCCTGGATTAAGGACAGATCAGGTCTCCGGCCCCTCTGGTGTACTGGGAGAGACAGGTGTCCCGCTGCACTCACAGGCTCTGTGACCCTCTTGCAGAAGATGGCCAGCAGGAAGAGGGCAGTGATAGGCGGGGCCAGGTAGCTGGTGACAGACTGGATGTAGTCGAAGAGCTGCCCGCTGTTGGAGCTTTGGATGATGGGGATCCAGAGGATGCTGATGACAACCAGGAACACCACAAACAGTCTGCAGGGAGGACACAGGGCACCATGAGGCATGCTCAGGGTGGCTGGGCATGGGGTGGGGGGAAGGTGATGCAAAGGAACCAGGAAAGGGGAAGGGAGGGGATGCATGGGAACAAAATTAGAGAATGCTATGAGACCGGAAATGCCAAGGTTCTGGAAATGCAGACTGTTCAAATCCCAGAATATCAGAATTCCAGAATCCAAGAAACCCAGGAGTTTTGAGTTGGATGTCTTTAAAGTCATAAAGCCCACCTGTTCTTCAGGAAGGAATCCACACCTTTCACAGCACCACCCACCTCAGTAAATGGCCTCTGGTCTTGGCTTGGGATGCCTTTCCTTCTCTTCTGCATTCAAACCCTGTGCAAGAGAACCCTCTTCTCCAGGATGGCTTTAACTTCAGGGACTTTTCCCTTCTTTGGGCTCCTCCAGATCTAACCCCTGCACCCTTACACTGGCATTTAGCTCATAACAGGTACTCCACCTTCGTCTCCTGACTCCCCTTCAAATGATCCTGGCTCAGGCTCAAGTTCCCTAATGCACTTCCTTCGGATTTTTTGTGAAACAGTGAAAAACGTTTCTTGGATGGGCTGGGTGCAATAATGCATGTGGCCAGGAGATGGCGCCCAAACCCCACTGATGGATGAAATAAAGGGCAGTGAAACTGGGCTGTGAGGGAGCTCAACGGATGCTTCTTTGGAAATGTCTCTGCACACCTGTCCTCTCTTCTCCCTTCCCTCGCACATTTTCTCTCTCAGGCCCCACTAGAGCGGCAGCTACCACAGTCTACAGGGCGATCCTTAGATGCTCAGGTGCTGTGCACAGGGCTGGGGGCAGAGTGAGCAGGTGCTAGGGCTCCATTAGGCAGCAGTGGACTGAAGGCATCCTGGTGGAAGGAGCAGTGTGTGCAAAGGCAGGAGATGGAAGAGAGCAAGTTATCGAAACTCAAGTACCGCCTACCAAAAGGGAAGAATAAACATGGTAGTCCAGAAACCTGAGTCACAGAGCCTTAAATTAGGAAGCAAAGATTTCAGACAGTGCCCCTGTGTAAACCCTGTAACCTGTGTAAACACAGTAACCCTGTGTAAATTTCAAGCCTAGGGAGGAAAAGAAAATAAGCCACCAAGTGATACTTTGAAAAGCATAAAATCAAAACCAACAAGAGAAAGTTCAAACTTCAGCTTGGTGTGTAAGGCTCTGCATCCTTTGGAGACAGCCTTCCTAGGGTCATCTCCATGGAGGCAGGCCCCACGCCGCATCATGAGACCGCGAGCAGCCCTCAGGGCAGGGCAGGGCACGATGTCCCTGGGTGCCCAGCGCCAGGTGTGATGCAAGGGGGATGGACGGGGCGGGGCGGGGGAGGGGGGGTCCGATGGAGAAAATTAACAGGCTTTCTGTTATCCTGGAATATGGCCCAGAGCCGATCCTGAAGCTCCTGGGGGCGAGCTACTTGCTAACTTCCGTCCACTCACACAGCTCACCTTTCCCTTCTTAAATGCCTTGTCAGCTTCTCTCTCTGTCACTCACTTGCAAGAGAAAGTTGAACACACAGGGAAGAGATTTTTTTTTCCTCCTTACTCTGGAGGAGGAGCGTCCAGAGCCGGCGGGGGACTAACCTGAGGTCATGTAGGGATCTGACGCTAGAACCAGGTGCTGGGACTCCCCACCCGCAGAATCTCCCCAGGGCAGCCCAGGGCAGCCCAGGGCACGGAGCGGGGCGGGGGGGGGGGGGGGGGGCCTGCAGGGAGGGGGGAACTCCGGAAGGGGGCGCAGCGCACCTGCCCACCACCATCAGCTCCTGCTCTGTGGCCTTCTTCCGGAAGCGCTGCCACACGTCGATGGCAAACAAGGTGCTGCTGCTGTTGAAGATGGAGGTGAGTGAGCTCATGAGGGCGGCCAGGATCACGGCGATCATCAGACCCCGCAGACCTGGGGAGAGGCGAGGTCTCCCGTGAAAGCCAGCTCCTCCGGGAGCCATGGAGGCTGCAGCGTCAGGCGGAGCTGGGAGTCTGGGGGTGGTGCTGGCCCTGCATGAGGTCCCCCTCCATGCAGATAAGGAGTCCAGGAAAACCAGAGGCCGGCTTCTGGATAAGCTCTGCCTTCGCCCCGCTCTGCCCTCTGCCCTGCTCTATGGCCTTGGGCGAGCCATCCCATCCACCCTGCCCAGTGCCAGCTCCCTTATCTGCATCCCTAAGAGCCGTGCGGCTAAGTGGTCCTTCAGGTTCTCTGCAGCTTTGACGTCTCAGTCTGGGCGTCAGAGCCTGGAGACACTTGGTTAGTGGGCCCCTGATGGGGAGGAGGGTGACGGTTAATAATTGAGTGTTTTCAGTTTTTGTTCTTTTTCACCGACACTGAGGTGCCAGGTTAAAGCCCTCGCCTGGGACGGGTGGCCCTGGGAAGCCCTGGATTTGTTTCCTGGTTCTGCAAGTAACCAGGTGTGTGATCTTTGAACTAGTTCCTTCCTTTCTGGGCCTGTTCTGCCCCCTGTGGCAGGAGAGGGTGGATCCCGTTGCTATCTGAGGTCTCTATGACTCAAATTACCAAGATTCTGGAAACATGACTACTCATGTTTCCCTGGGGAGATGACTGTCCCTCAGCCCTGCCTCAGCCCTCTTTCCTCTCAGTCCAAATACTTAACCACCTCCTGGAGGTCTCCCTGAAAGACTCAAAATGTTCCAAACAAACCTAGGCCAGCACCTTCCAGCACCTTCTTCCAGGGCCTGTTGTTTCTTTCTTTGGTTAATAATATCCAATCTCCATACCAGACGCTCAGTTATCCTAGACCCCCCTCTTCCGCTCCCCTCCCACCCTACGTCCCTCAATCAGCCCCTCTGTGGAGGCCCCGTCCCACCAGCCCACTATTTCTTTCATTCATTCCCTTTTTTCTTTTTCTTTTTCTTTTTGTTTTTTATGAGCCGGAGGTGCAGAAGAAGAGAGACAAAGAGAATCCCAAACAGGCTCCATGCTCAGCAAAGAGCCCAATGCGGGTTTTGATCTCACAACCAGGGGATCATGACCTAAGCCAAAACCAAGAGTGGGACACTTAACCGACTGAGCCGCCCGGGTGCCCCAATTCATTTCTTGTTCTACTGAAGGGAAGGGGGAGCCCAACTCAAGGACTTCCCTCTATAAACCTGGCTCTTTTCCTACGTCTCCACTCTCAATGTCATCATAAACCCCGGACCTGGAGGCCTCCTTGGATCCCTCTTTCTCATCCCTCAAACATGACCAGTCATCAAATCCTGCCGCCTCTACCTCACAAATATCTTTTAAAACCCTTTCTGTCCATCTCTGAAACCACCGACCTGGTCCACACCACTATCACCCCTCATCTGGGCCACGGCAAACCCCTTGTTAACTGTCTCTCTGCCTCCCCTTAAGCTGAACCCTCCATGCAGATGGTCCCCCTCACGTGCTCTGGCCTAAAACCCAGCGTAAAGGCTCTGCTCCACGGTGAGGCATGGCCACGGCCTCCTCTCCAAGGCTATCCATTCCTCCCACATGTGCGTCACACAGGTGACTCTACTTCGGTTCAGACTTCAGTTCAGACTTCATGCTCTCTCTCAGCCCAGGGCCTTTGCACACACAGCCCCTCCTCCCCCGAATGACATTTCCCACACCCGTCTGGCTTTGTCTGCCTAAGATGTTCCTCAGGATTCAGCTCCATTTCCTCTCCTCCAGAAAACCTTCTCTGACATTCCCAGGTGGAGCCAGGTGCCTCCTTAGGGCTTCCTCGGTGCCGCTGTGTCCCCACCCTGGTGACATAGTATTGTGCCCTCTGTGAGCCCGGGTGTCCTGGAGATGGCATGAAGCCTCAGAGTAGGGGCCTGCCTTTTATCCCTGTCTCTCCAGGATTAGAGCCAGAACGGGTGCCTTACAGATGTTTGTGAAAAGTGTCTCTCTCTGTGTGTGTGTGTGTGTGTGTATTGGGGAAGGAAGTGTGGAGGTGAAAGCTTTTTTATTCCCTCTTTGCATCCGTGTCCACGTTTAGTGCAATCCCTCCTGGGCACTGGGGATTGGAGGAGGCTGGGGCATGGAGTGAAGGGTGGTGTGGGGGAGACAGGACTCACCAACAGGCATGAGGGCTACGACCAGCTTGGGGTAGGCGATGTTGGAACACCCCACGCGGGCCCCGCAGATGCTTTGGCAGACGTCAGGGTCTACACAGCCCACCTCATCTATAGAAGAGTGATGGCCGTTAGGGGCGAATCAACCTGTGTATGCCTTCTTGGTTCGGCCCAATATTTGCTTTCCAACCCTACAGGGACGTGTTTACTGGCGACGCTGGCAGGAATCAGCATCTGTTGTAGAGGCCAGAGGGTCAAGGGGCAGGTAGATGTCTGGGTACTATGATTTAGCTGTCGCTGGTAAATTCCTTGACCATATACTACCCTGCAAAGCCTGGTAGACGCCTTTGCGTTGTAGGCCTTACATCTTGATAAAGGGCAAACATCCTCGGAAGGCACCAAGAATGCCTTCATTGTTCTTTCCCTTATGAAGGGAAAGTAGGATTTTAAAATGATATTCAGATACAAATTTCTTCTACTGAAATACTCATTGTATGTGTGGCCCACAAAGCCTAACGCACTTCCGATGTGTTCTTAATAGAACTGGCATGTGACCCCTCCCCCCACTGCAACATTGCCCAGCTCTTACCTGGGTACAGGGCCCGGCTGATCATGCCAGGCATGACGATGAAGAACATGGGCAGGATCTTCAGGTAGCCCCCCAGCACCGAGCCTCCCTTAGCGTGGGACAGATTCTTGGCAGACAGAGACCTCTGCACAATGACCTGAAAAGGGAGCAGTGGAGGCGTGCCACTTAGGTCAGGTGGGGCTCAGCTCAGCCATAGGCGAGCCCTGAGGTAGTCCCAGAATGAGTCCCAACACTCTGTGCACCTAGACGCGTGGTTTTCCCACAGGGAGCCACCCCAGTGTGTGATGGTCCGGGCCAAGCTCGTCTGGGGCATCACCTGGTCCGTGCACCAGCACCAGGTGGCCAGCACCGTGAGCCCAAAAATGAGGCCTGGCCAAGGAATGTCCCCGTTCACAGGGTCCCGGAGCATGTGGAAGGCATCAGATCGGGGGAGATGGCAGGTGGTATTGGGGACTGTGGCATTAGGGATGGCCTGTCTGTACCGTTGCTCCAGGCCTGGGTACCAGCCCACCTCTTGAAAGCCTGTGGAGAGAGACCACAGTGAGCAACACAGCTCCGAGACCCCAGTGGACCTGTCACATGCCCCCACCCCACCTCCCAGTCCCACGTGGAGCCCCGGGGCTTGGAACTGGTATGCAACTTGGGAATGAGGGAGGGATGTGGGGTGTATTGAGAAGTTTGCTCTTTGGCAGTCCCACCCTGGAAATGGGGGTAGGGAGGTGGGGAACATGACACTGTGTTCTGGAAAGTTCCAGTCACAGCATGGAGGTGAAAGCCCAAGACAAATCGGAGAGCAATTTTGATGTGATGGTGGGTATATTCAGGTCTCTACCTTACCTAGAAACATGAGGACCAGGGCGCCCCCCACCATGATCACCGTCTGCAGAGCATCTGTGTAGATCACGGCCGTGAGACCCCCTGGGGACCCAAGGAGAGGGCTCATCAGTCAGCACCAACAAGGGGTTCCTCTCTGGCTGCCCGCCCTGTGCTTGGCCACACTGGGGAGACCAGACAAGACATGGAGTCCTCTTAGCAGGTCGATTCTAGCCGCCTGCCTTCCCCCCACAGGCTGGTGCCAGCCACTGGCACTCAAATCTAGCTCTTTCTCTCCCCAGTGGCCCTTGGGTACCTTAGCTGCACCTCCCTCCTTTGTTCTTATTGTTTTTAATACCCCAAGACTATTCCTCTGCTGGGCTGATAGTTCTACCAGGAATACTCCCTCCCTCCCCACCAAACACCGTTTAAATTCCCTATATTTGCAAACTGACTTAGCCACAAGCCAGGAACCCAGGTGCCCAGGCCTATGGGAGGTGCTCTGGAGGAGACAGAGGAAGGCAGGCTGGTGGCTTTGTCTGGAACAGTCCACAGCCACACTACTCCTGGTGACAGTCCCCTAGTCACGCTCCTGCTCACTGTAGCATCCCTAGGTGACCCCCCTCCACCTCTCCCTGTCTCTCTGTCTCTGCTCCAGGCACCTGCACCCCAACACGACCCGCCCTTGGCCTTACCTGCAATGGTGTAGACAGCTGTCACCACCAGAAGCATCACTGTGGAGAGGTATAGGTTCCAGCCCAAGGCTATCTGGATGAACAGGGCTCCAGAGAAGATGTCAGTCTGCAGAGAGCCGGGACCCAGGAGTCCAGGTCACCTGAGGCCCTCGCTGTGGCCACCAGGGTATGATGCCTCCTGCTCAGCCATACCAAGTGCTGTCAGCCCTCATCACATAATGAGGCTGAGCCTAAAGTGCCATGCTGAGGAGAACGGGTTTGGCCTCGGGGATGCTGAGGAGCCGTGGAGATTTTCAGGCAGAGGAGCACCGCATAAAACTTTGAAACCGAGAGCAATGAGGTCTGGTGGCACTAATGGGATAGTCTGTGGGTCGTGATGGCAGGGGGGAAGGAATGAAGAGTAGACAGAGGAGAGGAAGTGGGGAGCAGGGGTTGGAGAAGAAAGAGCAGGCACCCAGAGGCCCTCTTTTCCCGAGCAGAGCAGAGGCCCGCCCAGCTGCCAGGGGGCCCACGCTGACCAGACGGGCAGGAGCCCCAGGACAGATGACCGCACTTCTGGAGGCTCTACATGTTTGGGTTTATTAGAGGACCCGGCTGACCAGACAACATGCTGACTTAGGCTTGTTTTCCAGCATTGGTGGACAAGTGGCTGTACCATTTTTCCCATCTCTCGACCTGGCAACTCGTGGACTCAGTCCCCTTCAGTGCCTGCTTGCTGATCCCACTGCATGGCTGTTTCATGAACCCATCCCAGGGCTACAACAGGACGGAGTGCCAGGACGCCTGGACCGGGTCACAGGACCCAAACTTTAGTTCAGTCCCACAGCTCTATTCTGTGTGGACATGGGCGAACCATCTGCCCTAGGTTTGTTTTCGGAGTGTAGGTCAGAGGAGGAGGAATAAGGATCTTTTGAACAGTGACATGTAGGCAACAAATTCATGGTGCTTAATGGAGGATCAATTAATGGAGAGAGAAATGAATGAATGCACTCTAGGTTAGGAATCATTTAAATAGAGGCACTGTCATTTACTTAACAGGTACTTCTCATTCATCTGTGATCGCTCCACTGCTGAGGGAGAGTGTGCATTGAAGGTATGTGGATTCATGCTTCCTCCCTTCCTCCCTTCTTTCTATCTATCTATCTATTTATCATCCATCCATCCATCCATCCCTACATGCAGCAACAAGCCATGACTCAAGCTCAGCATTTTCAGGGAGACAAGATGGCCACATTGCGGTGGGTACTCACTGAAATCTTGGTGAAGATGTAGAGGATGAGAGACAGGACAGACATGTACACCTGGATCCTCTGGCCCCCGAATCGCTTCTTCAGGTACTGTGGCATTGTGACCACACCAGCAGCAATGTACACGGGGACAAAGATCCAGCCCAGGGCCAGAAGGAGCCAGGTTGCCTGGGAGAGTGGGGAGAACAAGAACAAGAGACATCTACCCGTGTCCTAGATGCACATGGAAGGACAGCCTCCTGTGCACGTCACGCTGTGAGGGAGCACCGAACTGGGAGGCAAGGGACGTGGGACCTGATTGTAGTGCTGTGTGACCTCTGATGAGTCCCTCTGCCTTTTCCAGGTCCTGGTTTCCTCATCTGTGACATGGGTTCTCGATTTACCATACAGCCTCTCCAAGCACCTCCGAGGTTCCTCTCAGCACTAAAGCCAGGGGTGGGGTGGGGTGTGGGGTGTGGCGTGTGGGGCGTTCAGACCCTCGTTATCTCTGAGAAGCCTCCAGACCAGCTTCCTTACATTCCATTCGAAGCCCCCAACAGCAAGGCCTCCGGCAGCTCCTGTCCCAGCCAGGCCGATGAACAAGCCACTGCCCACATTGCTGGACATCAGAGAGGCTCCAATCTGCAAGGCACAAGTGGGGTCAAAGGTCGGGGTCAATTTTAATCCAAATCAATCTACAGCCAGGACCGTGAGCTTCAGGAGCTGTGAATAGAGCAGGGCCTGGGTCAGGAAATCAGAGGGAGGAGAGGAAGGGAGGGAGCAAAGGGGAGAAGGGAGGGAGCTGACGTTTATTGGGTACCTACTGTATGTGGGCACGGTGTGAGGCATTTCATAGGCACTAATGCACTTAATCTTCATAAACATTTCAAAGGATAGGTTTAATCTTTTCAATTTACAGAGGAATGAAATAACGTTAGGAAAAATGAAGCTGCTGGCTCCAGGTCACCCAGTGAGTGAGTGGCCAAGTGGGAAAGAAGGGAAGCCATGGGAAACAGCATCCATGCAGGGAGGACAAGGCCCTGCACTGGGACCACCCATCTAGGGGCCTCCAGAGGCAAGGATGCTGAGGGGAGGAGGGGAGGTCCCCATGAGAGGGACTGAGGGAGGCCCTCTGCCACCCAGTGCCTCCAGCACTAGGCCAGGCAGAGGGAGGAGCTGAGGGGCTGAGCACAGGCTGGGCCAGCCTCGGAGTTGAGATCATTTTTCCCCAGGAGACAGCAATAGACACAATAATATAACTCTGATGCAATAGACACAATCTGATGCAATAGACACAATAAGGACGACATCATAGCAGTTAGTACATACACAGCATTGCCAAGTGCCAGGCACTGGTCTAAATATGTTAACTTGGGGCACCTGGGTGGCTCAGTCGGTTAAGTATCTGACTCTTGGTTTGGGCTCAGGTCATGATCTCAGGGTTCATGAGCTCAAGCCCTGCTCTGGGCTCTGGCTGACCATGTGAAGCCTTCTTGGGATTCTCTCTCCCTCTCTTTGCCCCTCTTCTGCTCTCTCTCTCTCTCTCTCTCAACATCTATATATATACACACACACAAACTAACTCAGCCCTCACCACAGCCCTATGTAGTAGGTCCTATTATTATCCCCATTTTACTGAGGAGGAAACCAAGGCACAGATAAATGACTTGCCCAAGTTCCAGAACTAGTAAACAACAGAACTTTTGAACCCTGGCTGTCTGGCTCCAGTAATTAGTGCATGATTGTTGCTGGGCACCTAATAAGCACTCATTAGTGTTATCTTTTATTATTTGATGGGATCCTTCACTGGACAGGAAAGGGGCAGAGGGAGGGGCTCCGGGGCCTGGGCAGAGGCAGGACGGAGGTGAAGAGCTGTGCTCCAGCCTTGCGCCCTGTGTGACTTTAACAAAATCACTCCCTCTGGCAAGTCTTCAGATTCCTCACCTATAAAATGTGGGGACTCACCTGCTCCCACTCACTGACTGTTCTAGCGGTGCTGGGCGATAGAAAGTGAGAAGGAAGGAAAGGTACTGAGACATTCAGAAAACAGCTGAACAGCACGAGGGCACAAAGATTCTCATGCTGAAGCCACTCCGTGCTGCTGCACACACATGCGCACACACATGCACACGCACTCAGGCTGTCCTGGGGACGCTGGCAGGGCTGGTGGGGAGTGCCTGGCCAGAGCATGGAACACTGGGTCTGCTCCCTTACTGGGAGCAGCGAGATGCCTCGGCCCCACTCAGCCCAGGGCTCCCAGCTCATGACTGGAGGAGTCATCAGTCAACAAGGTTGGCAGGGGGACCAGACGGGCCCGTCAGGGACAAGGATGCTGTTACTCCTTCTGCTCTTGGTTTCCCAGCCACACACTCTGCTCAGGCCACAGAGAGAGGAGTGAGGCACTTCTCAGGACTGGCCTGGTAGGGAAGGGTGCAAAGCAATGGGACCTGCGTAACAGATGCCCAGACACACAGACACATGGGCTCGTGTCACAAACAGGACCAAGCAGAGCAGGTTGTGCGTCCAGGAGCAGGCAGAAGCCCTGCCCCACTGAGGCTCGTGGGAGGCAGGGCTCATCTCTACACCCTGCTCGTCTGGAGGACACCCTCCTCCTGCTCGGAGGCCTCGGGTTTCCTCACACTTACAGTGAGACACAGTTTCACACGGAGCAGGGAGATGTCCTCTCTGCAGGACTGGACGGGCACCCGGCCGCCCCTAGCCACTCTCCTGGATGGACCAGAGAGGCCCTCTGTCCTGCTTCTTGTCCCTCTTACAGACTCATCTCCAGGGCTGTGATGGGGGTGGGGTAGGGTGAGTACCAACTGAACAGAGTGCCCTTCCGTCTGTTGAGGTGATGGCTGGCAGGGACCAGTCACTGTCCCTGTGAGCTTCCAGCCCCTCGCCCCTCACACTCCTGGGGGTTCGTGCTAGAGGCATGAGAACTCCTTGCCCCTGCCTCCTCCTGTCCCAGATACTCGAACCTTCCAGAGAGCTCTGTCAATGTCCAGGGCCCCCTCTACTCTTCAATGAGTCTGTCACCAGTGCAGGCAAGAAGAGTGGTGAGAACCAAGACAGGCTGTAGGGACGGCTGGTGGCGTGTGAGAGCATGCACTGGTGTGCCATGCGTGTGAGCTGTGCGTGCCCAGGTGTGCACACAGCCTCAGCTACCAGGGGGGGCTGACAACTCCACCCTGCCTTTTCCAGGCAGGGCTCACCTCCCTCCATCGTGTTGCAAGAATAGGAAGTTAGTTTTGAGGAGCGAGAGAAACAAGTGAGGTGGCCTGAGGGGGGAGATGGGCTCACAAAGGTGTCGGGACCGATTCCCTGAGGATGCTGGGGATTGGACCTCTGTGACCCCCCCTCACTTCACTCCTCTACAGTACTAAGCAGATGTGTCTGCTTCCCATGAAAGTCTTTGCTAATCCCACCTCCCCTGAGGCCAGAGGCTTCCTGCACGTGCTCACAGCCCCTCTGTGTCCCCCAGCTCAGCATTCATCCTGTTTTCTGTGAGTCTGTCTGCCCAGCTAATCTGAGCTTCTCCAGGATGGGAACATTCTAGATTATTTCTGTAGGTGCAGTGTCCAGCCTAGGGTATGCACTTAAGAGGCGCTTATCCGGGGGGGGGGGGCGCATTAATTAGCAAGGTCTCTCGGGTTATAGGGTGACTTTGGGCCACAGAGAAGGAGCCCAGAGCCAGGAAACTTATCTGGAGGGCTGCTGCCTTGGTCCAGACAAGAGAAGACAAGACGAGGATCCAATGGTGGGAGGAGACAGGGGGGAAGATCAACTCACTGGCCACCAGGTCATGGACCTCCCCGCCAGGAAATAGCCGCCGATGGTCCCTCGGCTTGCGCGAATGGACGACTAGAAAGGAAGGGGAGAGAGATGAAGGTTTCCTGAGCTCCTCCACCTCTGCCCCACCTCAGCTCCCCATTCCTGGGTGCAGGCACTGGGGTGACAGAGCAGGAGAACTGAGACATGCAGTTTCACAGGTTTTATTCTACGTGCCGATGAGAGGGTCACAGCCTCTCTCTGGGCCTCACCGTTCATCCCCTGGGCTGGTGCAGAGAGCAAAAGGGCTGACAGAAATTAAAGCCTTCATGAACGGCACGGTGCCTGGCAAGTGTGCAAGATTATGGCTATTGTCCCCTGAGCCCTCCCTCTGTCCACACTTGTGTCAGGAAGCGATTTGTATCTGATTGAGAGGCTTGCATGGAGGCACCCTCTCCCTCTTTTCTGCAGGACTCCCACACACTGGGGACGGGGGTACAGAGAGCCCAGGAGCCCCCGGCAGAGGTAGGGCTCTGTTTGGGGGGCTTCTCTCGCCCTGTCCTGAAGTCAGACCATGCTGGGTAAGCCTGTGCGGGACCCACACAGACCCCTGCGCTGAACTGGTGGGTGGTGGTTTGCAGCCTTTTGGGGGGGCGGGGACTGCTCTGAACAACAAAAGGAGAGTGGACACGAAGGAACTTCCTCTGGGGACTAGGGGCTGGCAGCAGGGCAGTGGGCAGGGAAGCGGAAACTGGAAGACTTTATTAAGACGCCAAACTCAACAGGCCTCTGATTAGGTCTAGAGGTGGGAGAAATACCTGAAGGAGAGGAAGGAAAAAGAGAAATGTGAAAGGAGCCTCTTTGCCCCCAAGGAAAAGTATGTAGTCACTGGGGAGTGATGGGGAGGAGAGGGGCTGGTGCTTGTTAAGCCTTTGCTGGAACTTTCCTTGTCACCTCTGGTCTTTGGGCAGGGCAGGATGAGCAGATGGAATCATCTGACAAGTAAGGAAACTGAGGGCTGAAGACAGGGAAAGGCTCGTCCCAAGTCACTGAGGACTGGTTCTTTTCCTCCCAGGAGCCGACGATCAGCTGCTTGCCCATTTCTCCTTCACACCAGCTTGGGAGGCAGGGGCTGTTCACCCTGCTTTGCAGATAAGGAAACTGAGGCCCAGAGAATGTTCCCGAGCTTGCCACAGTACCAGTTGGGACTGGAACCATTGTCCCCTGCCTCCAGAATGTGGCCGTGGCCATGATAATAGCCACGTGTATTGTTGCCAGCCGAGTGCCAGCCTCTGCCTGATGCTTAAATGTGTCCTTTTGCTCAATGGTCATGACCACTCTACAGCATAGGCTTTATTATTCTCACTGCCTGGATGAGAAGACTGAGGCTCACAGATTGTTCTCATGTGCCCAGGGCCCTGTGGCCCTAACAGTCAGAGTTGGGATCTGAACTCAGGGCTCCCTGACCTCTCAGAGCCTGGCCCCTTTTCCCGGCACCGAGGCTCAGGTGAACAATGGAGAACAGAAGGACCTTTGGACTCACCTGGCTCCCTTCCCATGAGCATTTGAACCCCAGCTCCGTTAGAAAGCCCTACTCCTTGCCAAGACACCCAGTAGTGGAGGGTGGATAGGCCGCGAGTAGAACGTCCCCAGAGCTGGCGATGGTGGCATGGGGAGGAGGGCAGGAGTGGGGCTCGGGCTGCCAGGTATGGGTGAGGCCAAAGGCAGCAGATGCATAGAGACCGGGAGCTGGGAGATGGGGGTCCCAGCCTGGACTGCCTCAGCTTGCTGTGTGCCCTCAGGCAAGTCACATTCCTCTCTGGGCCTCAGTCTGCCCATCTATAAAGAAGGGGCTGGAGAGAATGACTCCTAAAGACCTCTCCATCTCAGCCTGTGCTTTCCTGATCCCCTTCCCCCTGCCCACCTTGCCCCCAGCTCCACGACCAGCCAGAGGTGAGAACCTGTGCCTGCCTCCCCCGCCAGGCCCCAAACCTACTCACCCAGATCCCCACGCCAATGACAAAGACAAAGTAGACGACCAGGACCCCTATGTCATAGGCATGCAGGCTGACTCCGGAGCCCAGCGCTGAGCGTGGAGCTGTCACTGTCCTGACCCCACTTCCTGAAGTTCCAGGCCCCATCGCTGCCAGCACCGCGCTCCTCTGTTAGAGTCGCTCACCACTCCGCTGGACTTTGAGGCGCTCCTGGCTTCGTTCCTTTCCTGTAATGATTAAACAGCCCCAAGGGCCATTAGCTGCTGAGAAAGCTCTGAGCCCCACTGGCATGGAAAGTCCTGGTCCCCTTTTCTCCAAGCTGCCACCCCATCCTCTGCAGGACTCTCTCGCTTTCCCTGCCCCCAGTACACACACACACACACACACACACACACGTGCACACACTCATGCACACCGTGTATACTCCCACCCCTGAGAGGAGCAGGAGGAGGAAAGGAGAGTTGTAGAATTCAGCAGCTGGGAGGGACTTCAGAAGTTGAGATATTTCAGCTCTGGCTTATGTGGAGGGGAAACTGAGGCCCAGGGAGGGAAGGGTCATACGGGCAAGAAAGGTGGAGCTGGGCCTGGAGTCCAGGTTTCCTAGGAGTGAGTTCAATGCAATTTTCCTTGCTCCGGGTGGGAGGGGGACAAGGGAGGAGAAGGAGAAGGGGTCTGCTGCTACCTGGGCAAAGCCTCCATCGTCAAGTGCTCCCACCTCCAATCCCCGACCCCCGGGTGTCATTTTGCCTTTTTTTTGTTTGTTTGTTTTACAGTATAGGAAACTGAGTCCCGAGAAGGGACATGTTTATTCCAAGCCACAAAGTGGGGCAGGAATTCACACTCCTGCCCTGTGCTTTGACAGATGAGTGATCCTGGGAAGGACACGGAGCACGCCGGATCCAGGGAAGACCAGCTGCCCCAGGGCCCAGGCAGACTGCTAGTCCCAGCAGCCCAGCCCACTGAGCTGCAGAGTGACTCTGGACCTGGGGTCCCGTCAGCGTGGCCTATACCCTGCCCACCTCGCAGGGCCAGTGAGTGCCGGTCCTCCTATCCTCCCCTCCGGAAGTTACCCTTAGGGTTCCACTGCCTACACGCCCTGTCCCCCAGCCCCATCCTCACAGACGCCCAATGCCAAGCCTTCACCCTGCACATTTCACCTAACCTAAACCAGGAGGCTGGGCCCATAGCAGCCATCCCTCTGATGCATCTGAGACCCATCTGTTAGCCAGCCAGACATCTTAGCAGCCCAGAGCCAAGAGAGTGCCGGGAAGGAAGTGAGAGAGGTTTTGAAACCTTCAGAATAGATGCTGTGAAGCTTATACATGAAGGCCACCCGCTGACGCATTGGTGAGCCCCAGATCCCCCACTCAGGGCCTGTCTTGTTTTGCTTCGCCTAGAGTGTTATTTTGTGCTGCAGCTCACAGCAAATTAAAAACAACAACTTAACAGTGGGAGAGAGACTGCCAGAGGCGTGCAGGGTGTTGCAGGGCCATGGGGGGCAGAGGGGGACGGCCACTGATGGGCACACAGCACATGGGCGTCCAGATAACCAGGGAAAGTGGAAAGGATGATGTAAGAGTGGCCAAATTAGAGCGAACAACCTAGGAATCAGGCTCCATCAATTCTCAGCCGAGGCCATTCCTGAACGGCAGCTGAGGATTCATATGCAAAGCAATGACCCAGAGTCACTGAGGAAAGATCGCACCGTGCCCATTATGGATTTTCTACTTAGCATGGATTATGAAATCCAGACAGGAAGAGTTTCATCCAAAATGGTTTGACATTTGAGGCAGGTGCTGGCAGGCCAGGAGGAGGCCCCACTTATGCAGGAAATCCTCTCGGAGAACCCCCGAGACAGAGGATGTGGTGGTGTTGTGGTTCTTACAGTAAGTGCGCACCTGTTCCGCACCTGGCTCTGGGGGCCCCCGGGAGGCCACCAGCGTGCTGCCAGGCTGGCCGGAAAACAGCCGGGCACACGGGACAGGCGCCTTCAGCACAAGGCACGTCAAGATTCACCCCCCTCCCTCTGAGCTGCAGAGTGCCGGGAAGGAACGACCGAGTCCAGTTGGGGAGGCGGGGCGGGCTCTCCGGGGAAGCGCAGCAGAAGCGTAGCAGGCCGAGAGGGTGGAGAGAAACCAAACAAGCTGGCCTGGCAGCCAACCCTGGCAGGGTGGGAGCTGCAGGGACAGTGTTTACATGAAGATACAAGTGTTGAATAACAGCGTCGGACAGTGCAGTTTCTGAGGAGTATCTGAACCAAGGCTGCGTTTTCAGAGTTACAGCAGCGGCAGGGACTGTGTGGCCGAGTTTCAGTTGGGGGGCGACAGAAGAACTACATCCCCCTGGACCAGCTGTTTGGGTCAGTTGCTTCACAAGGTTGCTTTTAGGGTCTGGCTCCCTGCGTTCTCTTTATTCCGTGTGTGTGTGTGTGTGTGTGTGTGTGTGTGTAGTTTGCAGTAGGTAGACCAGGAACCTCACTCCTGGCATTCACAGCCTGCGTCTCCCTTAGGCTTTAGGCTGTGCCGTCGCTGAAGACTCTGGAAACCAGGGTTCTGCTTCGAGTCCTGGGGCCAGCTACTTCTCTAGCCTTATGGCCTTGTCTTCGGAGGTCACCACCCAAAGTGTCAGTTCCCTTGGACAGCTCAACTGTCCCCTCCCTATCCTTGCCATGCTATGTTTGCGCGGCCCCTCGCCAACCTCCTGCCACTCCGCTCATGTCCAGCCATGCACAGGGCCCATGCCCGTGGCCTCTCTACCCTCAAGCTCCTCACTGGCAGACCGTCCACAACTGTCACGGTGTCCAGGTTGTCCCACAGGCAGCCTGCTCACGTGCAGGCTCTTCCTCCCCTCGTGCCCTCAGAGTTTGGGTCGGAATCCTTGCTGCTGCACGTAACCGGATGTGCTTCCTGGAAGGGCCACGCTGCCCCTCGTCCCCAGGTCTCCTATGTGCCGGGTGCTCCCCCACCATCCTTTCCCTGAAGACTTCGCTGACTCCCTAGCCTGGGGAGTGTCCCCAAACCCAACCTGTCCCCCCCATTCATCTCACTGATGTGGGCTTACTAGATGTGAGCCCCTCAAGGGATCTGGGTACCTCATTCCCATTCATGTCCCTAATGAGCGACTGGCACCAAGTCCGTGCTTAAAGAGCGGAGAATGGTTTTCATAGACTGTGTTGGGATGAGAGGCACAGTGGGCAGTGAGCGGAAGCAGACAGGTTCTCCAGGCAGAGGGAGGCAGGAACATGGCAGGGGAGTATAAGCAGGTGTGGGGTGTTCGGGGAATGGCTTGTTGTGGCTGGGCTGCAGCCTAGGGTCTGGAGGGAGAATGTGGGCAAGGGGCATGAGAAGAAAGGGAGTGGTGAGACTGGCATTCTAGAAAATCCCTCTGGGGGCCAGCGTGGGGGCTAGATGAGGATGAGGAAGCTGGCACAAGAGATAAGGTGGAGACTGGCATCTAGTTAGAAGGATGGAGAGGAAAGGGTCCTGGCTGCGTTCTTACCCAACTGGGAAGCATGTGGACCTTTGTGGCTTTCTCTCCCGTGGGGTCCCTGCCCCGACCATGGTGCCAGGGTTCAGGACCCTCCATGCTGGGTGGCCCTTCCCTTCAACTCCCAGTGCCTATAAACCCTCATCCCCGCCACTAAGCCACGAATGGGAAACAGCCTTCAGATTGTTCCATTCCCAAAAGGACCAACATTGTAGCCAGGGTAGGCAGGGTGGGAAGCCTTTGGCTAAGGGAATGACAGATGGCGAGATCTTGAGCACGAGCCATGAAATGCTGATGGTACAAAGTGGGCTGGGACCCCCAAATCCACCGTGGAACCATGAGTTTTCCATGTAGAAGGGAACCTCCTCTCCCTCTACTGTCTGGGTATCCCAATCTCCTCCAGCACCCCAGGAAGCCCCCGGAAGAACCCTGGGCAGGCTCACTGGTACCTCTGGCTGGCCTCGCCCTGGCTGCTTGCAGGTTCTTCCTGAAAAACCACTCTTGGCCAACCTTCCTGCTGAGAACTTCCTCTTCTGAGAACAATACGGGGTAAGGACTAAATTTGCCAGTATGTGCCAGAAATATTGGGTAGGTCACAGCCCAAATATGAGTGCCACTATTATAGTAACTGTAGGAGTTGGCCTCATTATTCCTATTTTGCAGCTCATTGGGGATGTGACATAATTATGGCTTATTTGGGTTTTGAATTCAGGCTTGACTCACTCCAAACACTGCTACACACTGTCCTTTTTCTCCTAATCCTATGTCTACGGGGGCAGACACGGAAGATGTATCCCGTCGGATGGAGGGGTAGAAGTCAGTTCCGTGTGGCTTCCTCTAATGGGAGCTCTGAGCAGGGCCCAAAGACGGCTGGACTGGGGACGGGAACCCACTGGGGTCCAGATCTGGTTCCAGAGACTTCAGCCCCTTGCCTGCACCCCAGCCCTCAGCCACCCTTCCTTCCCTAGCCACCTCTGCCCTGTCCCCACCACCGCTCTAGCTCTCAGCTCAAATGGCTCATGACCCCCCCCCCCGTCCCCTGCCATGTGCCTGTGATCTGATCATTTCAAACCCAAATGCAATTCCATCTGATTGACCCCAGCCACTCCGTGAGCACACTCCGTGCAAGGCCCTTTGTCAGGGCTGTCTCACTGCACAGCTCCAGGGACACCTCTCCCCCAGGATGCAGCATCAGTGGTTCCCCCGGCCTTACAGAAGGCTGTGCTCTCTGCAGTGGGGAGACAGTGGTAAGCAAGGCCAGGTCCCGGAGGAGGAGCTCCGTGGAGGAGCCAACCACATGGCCTGCAGAGGCCAGGAGAGGCACTGGCTCCTTCCTGGCATCGCCCCTCCCCCAGCCTCCAAGGGGCCGAGGCTTCTGGAGTGCTCCCAGGTCAGGGTCACTCAGTGGGAAAGGGTGGAGGCCTCGGGTGGCCAGGCTGGATGCTTAATTCCAAGAGGAAAAGATTATTACACAGGAAGAGCAGACCGAGAAAGGTGGTGACAGAGCCCCAGGGAAAGAGAAAAGACAGGAAAGAAAAAGAAAAGGTTTACAGGCTCCAGTCACCACACATGTAGTCCTGTCAGACGGGGCCGACCCCTACCTGTGCCACCGGCCTCACAGAATCTGCTGGGGCCACTCCCAGCCTCACACTCCCGGGTCTGCTGTCCTCTGGCCTGGCCTCTGACAGCTCCAGTCCAGGTGGTGGATGAGACCTGGCCCCTCCCCCAGGGAGGGGGCGGAGGGAAGGCCCCAAATCTCTCTCCAGCCGCTGGGCCGGGTTCCGAGGGACCTCCCCTGTCCTTGCTGCTTGATGTTGTCTCGGGAAAAGAGAATTTGTGCTGCACTCAGGGTTCCCGGGGGCCCCCAGGGCCAGATGTAGAAGACCACAGCTCAGAGTTAGCTTCTGTGGCTGCTGTGGCCACTGTCAGCCATCTGGCTGGACAGGTTTCCCAAGACGGAAGGTGAGGCGGGGCTGGCACTAGAAACTTGGGCATCGTTTGGAGCTTGGGAGGGTCTCAGGATGGGCCACAGGTGAGGCTGGCACACCCACACACAGCCCCCACACACAGCTCGTGCACAGGTGTGACTGGCGCACACACACACATGCCTGTGCACACACACATAGCTAGTAGCTTGTCTAGGAAACACTGTGGAGTCGTCACGAGTACACAGAATCTCTAGTCCTATCAGCGCAGGCTCATTTAGGTGCCTCCATGCCCTGGCAAAGCCCTTCACCTTTCTCAGCCCCCTTTTCTCTTCTGTAACTTGGATATAGTGACTATCTCATGAGTGGTTGGAAGGACGAGTTAACACAATGGATTTGAAAATGTTTTAGAAGCTGCCAAGTACAGTGCCTCTGGGAGGCATCACTGTTAGCTGAGTCCCTGCAGGATTTCAGCCTCAGTCGTGAGTCCCTGTGGCCAGACTTGGGGAAAGTAAGAGAGCCACAGATGAGTCCCGGTTCCGCTGCTCACTAGCTACACTGATGGAAGAATTATTTAACCCACTAAGCACACAAGTTTACATCTGTAAAATGAGGTAACGATATGCTGGAAAAACAGGAGTGAGGGAAATGAAACGAGATAATGTGTATGGAATGCGATGCTGAACTATGAGATGATGGACTATTTCTGTCTCATTTTTGGCTGAGGTCCAAAGGGTGAGACCGATCTAACAGGTGCCTACCTCCCCCACACCTTCCCCCGCCCCCAACCCTCCTGCCGTCTAGATGTGAGACAGAACTCCTAGGGAGCCTTGCTACCGTGACCTTGGCAGTGGGGGGAGCTCAGTGTACCTACTGCCCACCCCCCCAACCACCGCCACCCCTCAGCATTGAACACTGCGCTCACCCTGAAGTCCACTGGCCCCAACCACTCCTGGCCAGCGACTGAGTGTGGCTGACACTATACCTGTCCCTTCCTGTGGGAAGTGTGGCTCATGTAATGGGCACTTCTGCCTGGAGGACTCCAAGGGCCAGCCAAAACCTTCTTAGACCTGCCTGGGATCTCTTCCCCTTTTTCCTCCCAGTTATTCCTGCTTCCTCCCCTTTGTCCTCTCGTCTCCAGCTGATTTCTTGCCTGTCCCATCCCGTCTCTGTGACAGCTTCTCAGAGGACCCGTGTATGTGCCATCCCTGGCCATCCATCTGCAGCCTTTGACAGAGTGGCTGCTCCAGGGCCAGCTGGGGAAGTGGCCGTTGCTTTGGAAAGGGTTGTTAGAGGCATGTGTCCACCCTGCCTCACTTTCCCTCAGGTGGGGAGGAGGCCAGTCCAGTCACCCCCAGCAAGCAAGAGACAAGAGTTTCAGAGGGTCTGTGGCAGAGCTTAAATGTGTCCCAGGGCCTGGTGATTTACAGGCAGGAGGTGGTCTAGGCTGGGGGTGTTTTGAAAAGCGGAAGTGGGCCAAGCAGGGAGACAGGCAGGGTCGGGAGCACAAAATACCGGACAGTGACCTTTGGGCTCGTGGTCTGGGCAGACAGGACTAAGGGTCTTTAAGGCCGCCGCCCCCACACTTGCTCTTCCCAGCACTGCAGACGGCCATCTGACCGGCACATTGTTCCTTTTCCTCCCTCCTCTCCTCTGGACTCCCGGGCTAGGGAGCTCCTGTCACAGGCCCTGTGCTCCCAGGCCCAGGCCAGCACTGCCTGCACCACGCTGTGTCCCCCACAGACAGTGGGTGCCTCTGGGGCAGCAGCGGTTCTGACAGGCCCCTGTGACAAAGACCCTGAGTCCCCGGCCCAGAGAAAGGTCACCAGGAGGATGGGGACTTCCTGGCATCAGATGTCTTCTCCGCAGACATTGGTCTTTAGGAGGAACCAGAGCACAATCCAAGAGTGAGGGGCTGGGCCCAAGTGGCAGAAGACAGCAGAGGACATAGGTCTGGCCTAGTGTCCCAGGAGCTGTTTCTACTACCAGCACGTTTGTGATCCTCGACACGTAGACCCACATGTCACCATGCCATTATGGGCCCCTGTATCCTCATCTGTGAAATGAGAGGTCATTTCTAATGACCCTGCAACTCTAAAGGGCTATCAACCAAATTATCCACCGAGTCCCCTCTAGCCTTTTGGTTCTAAGAGTCATGGAGAAAGTGGCATCCAGTCAGAGCTGTGGTTGGAAACCAGAAGATTGAGGGCTCCAAGTCTGCAGGCATTAAGGTCAGGCACTCCTGGGCCCCAGGCCTGGCCCTGGCACTCATCAGTGTGTGTGGTTGGCTGGCTTGCTTTCTCTCTCTCAGCCTCAGTTTCCTTGTATGTGAAATGGGGCAACAAAGTGTGCCTTGCAGGGTCATCCCGAAGTAGAGGGTGAGTATGTAAAGCACAGAGCACTGGGCCTGTCACAGTGATGCCCTACCATGGTGGTGGTGGTGGGGTTATTGTGCTAATATTATCCATGTGGGTATGGACCAGTACTCACCTTAGAACAGGCAACCACTTGGTGACTTCCTTCGTCCTGACAGATTCGAGACCCGAGGGGTCGCAGCTGGGGTTGGGGAGGATGGCTTCATGACGAGTCGATATCACCCCACCTCCTCACATCCTCCTCCGGAAGCAGAGCCTGCGGCTACCCAAACAAGGTTCTGGAGAGTTCTCCCGTGAGCAGCTGGCCCTTGCTGGAAGACAATAAATGGTCTCTACTGTCTCTCATAAGAAGCTGGTCAAGGAGGTCAGAGGAGACTGGGGTTGGCAGGTGGAGGCAGAGGCAGCGGACCTGGGCTCACGCTCCTTTCGGCCATCCCAGCTCACCCACCCCACGTCATGCCCTCTCCTGATTCTGGGTAATTGGACACCCCACGGCTGCCTGTTTCCCCCATTATAACTCCTATCAGTTGTGTTATAACTGCCTGCTTCTCCCGTTAGGGATTCGTGGAAGGCAGAGTTTGTTGGATTCATTTCTGTCCTAGTGCATGGCACGGGGCCTGGCACACAGTAGATCACCGTTACATTTTCATCAAATAAAGGAATGAATACAAATGGCATTCGTTTCCTCCTTTTCCCTGAAAGCTCTTCATACAGTATAAGACTCAAAACCATGCAAACTATCATTAGTGGAACTCTAATGATATTTATCAACTGGGACTAAGTTTGTCTATAATATATACCCAAGTTAAAAGCAGCTTAAACAAGAAACATTTTTTTTTTTCACATAAAAGTCTGGAGATGGACAGAACAAGACGAGTAAGGTAGTTCACAATTTCTTAAGAGAACTGGAGTCCTTTTATCTTGTTGCCCTAGCAGTTTCCATCTCCTTGTTTAAAATGGTCGCTCCAACACCAGCCCCTGCCTCTACGTTCCAGTGTTCTTTCCCAGAAATTGCACACAACATTTCCTCTAATATCCTGTTGCCTAGAACTTAGTAGTGTGGTCGCATCTAAGCTGCAGGGAAGGATGGGAAATGCCACCATTGTTTGGGGTGGCCCGTATCCCAGCAAGAATCTGAAATGTTTTTTACTCATTAACAGAGAAGAATGGATGTTGGGGGATCCTAGGGGTCCCATACTTTACAGTCCAGACTGCACGCCATTATCTTATTATCACCTGATTTAAAATGTATACCCCAAGCTGAAAAGCTATACATTTGGAATGATCAGATAATTCTTTTTAATTTCACACAGTGCTATCCACACAGTTTTAATTTTGTAATTTATACGTAAAATACAAAGAAATGACGATAATATTATGAACCCATAAGGGCCAGGACTTTGACACGCTTGTTCAGAAACAATCCCTATCGAAAGAAGATGCTGGAGTGTAAAACCTAAATGTTTCCGCCAAGTGAAATTGCCTTATTCTGAAATATCATTTTCAGATTTTGCCAAATAAAATAAAGAACAGGGGCACTGTCCTCACTTCACAGTTGAGGGACGAAGGCCCTGAGAAGTCCGTGAGCTTCCAAGACCACAGAGTCTTAGGCAGAGTTTACAGCAAGACTGGGATGGGCACCCAAAGCCACCAGCTGCAAGGTCAGTGCTCTTCCCTCGTTGTCATCCTGCCCCAGGTCTTCTTGGAAAGGGTGGTGGTTGGGTTCCTCCCACTCAACTCCCTCAAGAAACTGTGTGTGCAGTGGGCACTAGGGAGCAGGCCAGTAGGAACTAACCTTAGGGGCACACGACATACCCTTTTAGGTTTATTGCAAACGATAGTATTCCATCGGGGACAGGAGATGGGGTTGGGGAATTTGGGCTGAGCTCCAGACCTCAGGCAGAGGACACTGATGCTTATATTTGGTGTGATTCAGCAGCACAGCTCATTTCAGGCTTCGAGATCAGGAAATGTTAGTTCTCTTTTCATGGAAGGCAAGTTAGGACCTTCAGTTTTCTTGTGGGAAAACTGACACTCTGAGAGTTCCAGTCACTTGCCCAAGATCAGAAGGCAGGTGACTGGTGGAGCAAGAGTTTGAGCACAGGTCTCCCAATGGCTATGCTGGACCTCCTCCCTTACCAGGCTCTTCTTGGGGGGCTCCCCAGGCCACTCCCACTGCTCTGACCCCTGGTCAGTGCTACTGCCCCCCAGGCTGGACCAGGCTCACCACCTGGATTTCATTTTGCAGCTAGAAGCCTGATAGCCTGTGAGCACCTGTCGGAATCATGTCCCAGCAACTGGAAATAAGAAATCTCTCCAAGGGAGAGATTTGTCCCTTGTCAGCCTTGTAATGCTCTCTCTGCTAGACTCCACCGCAAGTCCTTTCCCTCCCTGCAGGGATTGTCTGAGGAAGTTTACTCATTTCTGTAGAACTCCTGGCTTCCCTCCATCCTGATGTGGCAAATGCAATGGGCAAAATATTGCCTTTTTAGCCTGCAGCAAACAGGATGTACTATAT